GAATTGAAGAGTTTCGGAGTGGAAAATATGGAAGATCTTGGACCTGAAGAAGGAATTTCTGGCGCACAGGAAGCGACCGGTCGTTTGGATGAAACGACTGGTCACGAACGAATCTGTCTGGATATGACCGGTCGCGAGGATGACACGACCGGTCGCGAATGAATCTGTTTGGATACGACCGGTCTCGTAGAAGTGGGCGACCGGTTGCGAATAGATCTGCTTGCAAACGACCGGTCGCACATGGAAAACGACCGGTCGCTTCCCTCGACGAGCAACAACAGTACCGATACGAGTGACACGACCGGTCGCCAGGAATGTCACGACCGGTCGTCAGATGATATTTTTGGATTTTTTGAGTCTCTCTCAGAAGGACATAACAGTGATACTAGCGACTCTCATACAGATGAAATTGATACAAGACTCCCCTCTGCCCTGCCATTGCCTCAATCAAGTCGTGATAATGAGGTAATTTCTAGTGATGTGCCTACCTATTCTTTGCTCCCATGTACTACCCGTGGGAAACCTAAAGTGCAATATTCTCCTGATATACATGCCAAGTCTAAATATCTCATTAACTATTATATGTCAACTCATCGTTTATCTAAGTCATATGCATCATATTTGTGTCAATTATCTAGTGTATGTGTGCCAACTAAGTTGCAGGATGCTCTATCTGATCAAAACTGGGTAGGTGCAATGCATGTTGAGATGGAAGCCTTGAACAAGAATGCTACTTGGGAGTTAGTTCCTTTACCAAAAGGAAAAAAGGCAGTTGGGTGCAGATGGGTGTTTACTTTGAACCATAAGGCTGATGGTTCCATTGATCGTTACAAGGCAAGATTGGTAGCAAAAGGGTATACTCAGACATATGGAGTGGATTACACGAAGACTTTTGCTCCAGTAGCTAAGCTCAACACTGTACGCGTACTCTTATCCTTAGCTGCTAATCATGACTGGCCGCTGTTACAATTTGATGTCAAGAATGCGTTCCTCTATGGTGACCTCAAAGAAGAAATATATATGGATCCTCCACCGGGTATCCTTGTGATCGCTAAAAAGGGTATGGTGTGCAAGCTACTGAGATCATTGTATGGATTAAAGCAGTCTCCAAGAGCTTGGTTCAGGAGGTTTGCTACAGCTATGAGGAAATCTGGGTATGTACAAAGTAACTCCGATCATACTTTGTTTCTGAAACATCGCAGAGGTAAATTGACAGCTTTAATAATTTATGTTGATGATATGATTGTAACTGGAGATGATCA